AGTCCCAGACACATTTTTAAGGGTGTAAAAAAAAAAATTCCCACGTCCATATAGACTCCCCCTCCCAATAAAAAGCCTGGACCCAATTCTTAGTATTGACTGAAAGTTTTAACACTGCTGCTCAGGATCAGGTCCCTATTCAGTAGCGCATATTGCTGTTAAAGTGTTAACAGCTCAGCCATGGGGACCGGACAAAACGCAAATAGAGGAAAGGATCTTGCAATACCCCATATCCAAAAAAAAGAAAAGAGGGGAATTGTCACCCCCCCCGCCCACCGTAGCATCTGGGGGGAAGGGGAGGCTTGCATTTCTATGCCATCGAGCGTTGCAATGCATCCCAGGGGTGATCTCTGGGACGAGGGGAGTCTTGTGATGGTCTGAGATAATCTCGGGGATTATTGGGTCTAAAACAACTATCCGTGGCAGTGCCAGAATCCCCCCTTGACCGGGTTAGAAACCTGAGTCACCACTTCAGCAAGACCTGGACCAGATTGCAGGGCAACACGGATCTGTCCCCAGTAGCCTCGGTTGAAGGAGTCACACTGAGACCAGCACAATGTTCCCAGTTCATGTTCAAAACACACATTTTTATTAACTTCCGATGACTCATTTAAGTATGGGGAGTTTCTCTGTGCATGTAAAACAACCTTGATTTCTTAAGCATCTCCCAAAGCATCCATCTATCTACCTATCTATCTATCCATCTATCTATCTATCTATATTTAAAAAGCCAGGACGTCGGAGCTCGGTGCTATTTGCATTTTATTGTTGCAAGGCACAAACAGAACCAGAAAGACAGACTAGCTGAAGTCTCGGATATTTTCTCCATAATAGCACTTTAATATTAACTGCATTTCATAAAACACATTCCTATCCAGATAGACTTAAAAAAAAATCCAGAAAACCCTCATTTCACCCAAATGTATTGTGTGCTCATTGCTGTGTTAGCTGCCTCAGTAATTTAATTGGAATGAAACGTGAAAAATGTGTCATTTTTGAAGAATTTATGCATCACTTCCTAGAAATCTCATTGTGTTAACTAGCAGCCTACTGTGTTCTGTTTAGCAGTCATAATCGCATTTTTATGTGTCTCTGTATTATAAGTTAATGTGACCTCCTGTCTTTAGCTGATGAAAAAAATGATCCCTTCCCATAACATCTGCATCAAAACAAGGAGCTGGCAGGAAAATACTGAGATGTGCATTTCGAAACCTTGCAAGGAAACTTGCTAACTTT